ATACCTTTTCTCCTTTGTCTGTATATGATGTCTACAAAAGGAAAAAGAAAAAAAATATCACACACATACATTAAGATTTGATGACAAATGCTTTCTAATTAAATGCAAGCGTGTAAATGTCCTTAGCAATGTGTAAGTGTAAAATGTGGAATCTTACCATATTGAGAAGACTGAGCACTATCAGTGAACAGATCTGATCTATGTGAGTTCTGATGCTGGAAACATCTCATATAGAACTCCAGAACTGGGACATCCCACTTGTGCTCCTCCTTATTCTGTGTACTATGAGGCAACATTAATCCTGCAGATGATGTCTGTTGCATAATGTCATCCATTCAGCTTCCAAAAGCTACATATAACAGCACAGAGATAAACACATTGGGAGGAATTTATCAAAGCTGGAGCAGACAGAATCTGGAGCAGTTGCCCAGGGCAACTAATCAGTTCCGGACTTCCATTTGTTCAGTTGGGGCCAGTTCACACCAACTGTGGTGCTTTCTCAGAGTGGTAGCTGCTGGAATGCACAGCAATCGCACACTAAACTCCTCCTTTCGTTCTGGGACGGGAGCAAAACATTGCCTGCGTCCCGGTCCAGTGCGAACGCAAATAAATAGAGCATGCAATATTTTTTTGCATTTGCACTGGACCGGAAGGCAGGCAATGTTTTGCCACACGTCCGATCACACTGAGGGTAAGGTGTGTGGCTGCGGTGCCATTGACCTCACTGCATCACCACGCCCCCTCCTGCCCCAGAACGAAGGGGGGAGTTTAGTGTGCGATTGCTGTGTGTTCCAGCAGCTACCTCTCTGGAACGCACCGCAATTGGTGTGAACTTACCCCTTAGCTTTAAAAATGAAAATAAAGAAGCTCCAGATTTTGTCTGCTCCAGTTTTAATAAATTCCCCCCACTGTACATTATAAAATGGGGAATCGAAATGATATCCACCGAGAGATTCTTTGGACCTATCACTTTCACCTTCTTAGATATTGGACTTTTGTTATATACTCCATTCCATTTCTTTCCATTGATGTCTCCACTACTTTATCCCAACTTCATCCTTGCTTTTGGCCTCCTGCACAGTTTTAGTCCATACAATGCTATAGTCACTCCTAATCTTCTAACTTTGACCTCTTAGAATGTATTGGTTTTGGGCCCGCTAGGTTCCTTCTGCTACTACCATTAAAAAAATTTCAATCTGACCCCCCTCAAGCTTGACTTTCTCTTGGAGCAGGCTCAGATCAGGCAATGAGTGTATTTTCCTAAGACAGAACCTGCAAGGTATAGACAGGACCATCCCTATAAGGCAGCCTGAGACACTGTGCCTTCCGCCCCCTTTCTGGCCAGAGCATCTCCGTTTGCCAAGAGCTCTTAGCAAACTGTGATGCTTTGGATGGTCTAGCCCAGCTCACTGAGATCACTGGTTGCCAGGAGCTGGACAGGACGCCATGAGAGGCCCCTCCCATGCCCCCCTCCCCCCGGAAAGTGCATCGCGACCAACATCCATCCCCCCCTCCCTTAGGCAGTGAGACATCTAGGGATGCCTCTGGGTATAGACCGTCAGACTCCAGGGGACCCCACTCCAGGAGGCAGACAAGTATATGGGGGCGAGACTCAAGAAAGTCATCCTATTAATTAGACTCTTCTAAATTTAGACACTCCTGCTTAGGGCAGGGTGGCTGTATAAGTGCTACTTTAAGTACAACTAAAGGATCCTGTATGTATAAGTACTAAATCCAGTTACTGTGTGATGCACACACCTTATAAAGTCAACTAAAAACTTATGTTACCTTCCCTGAGTGAGCCACATCCTCCTTTATTTGTGTGTCACATGCCCCCCCTCCCAGACACTGCAGCTCACAGTGGGAGGGTTACAGCAACAGGGGCAATGCTGCCAATCCAGAAAGCAGTGGGCAGGACTAGGTGTTGCCAGGTGCCGATTGACAAGCTACAGGCTTCTGAATCAACAGTGACAATGATGATAGCCACACGGCCTGCAACATTTTTTCATCCCACTATATTGCAAGCAGGCAGAGCCTACATGAGAGTGGCAACTTTGCTCTAGATTCACTGAAGGTGCTGCTTTCTTAAATCATTAGTATTGGTGGATGTTTATCATTTTCATATTTCTTTATTTGCCCTCGTGGTCCCTTCTCTATTTATCATTTATTTTCCTCCAAACATTCTCTTTATAATCCTTTTTTCCTGTGTCTCTATCCTCTTTTCTCCTTTGCGTGCATACATATCCTGTATTATAATATCTTCTGCATATATAATAACAATATACATTTTAGTAACAAAAGCATTGGTCTCATAAGCTTGTGATCCTGCCAGTCACCTTTCTTTGCTTTTTCCAACTGACCACACCAAACACAGAAGCAGATCAGTGCTGGCTCGATCAGTTTGAGTATCAGAGCTTTCTCCTTGCAGCTATAGGATGCCAGGTGGACGCACAGTGTCACTGTATCTCCCGTAGTCAGTATGGCCGCCACGCTCAGCCAGCTTTTTGCAGCAGCAGCCTTTAGGAGAGTATTAAAAACAGAAGGGGAATGTTCTTCCCTCTGTGTGTGATGTACACAGTATTACATCACACACCTGCCTGCTTGCTACAAGAAAGAACAAAGCGAGGGAGACTGCGCGGTCACGTGTCTTGCGAAACATTTTTGTGAAAGTAAAATCAATCATAGTGGACAAAACTAGTTTGTGTTCAGACTTTGAGATTGATGGTATGGGCCTTTAAACTCTGCCAGGTTTTTAATGCTGTTTGTGTCATGGCTTGGGAAATTCACCTTCTCTATTTGTCTTGGTGACCATTGTCATTGAAACCAAAAGTGAGGGAATATCTGAAATTGCTAGTTGTATCCAGAACAGCATTAAGCTGGCCACACACCTATAGATTATCTGCAGATTTTCTATGGTCAGTTGGAAAAAGTGCAAAAGATTCCTCCATCTGCGCTAAACTATGTAGCCCCGCTGGCTCTCAAATAACCTGAATAAACTGATTGGATGCAGGCATTGTTCAGGTGTTTGTTTTTTTAGAGCCAGTGGTGCCGACTAGCAAGATACTGAAGCTTGGCCCCGTGGGAGATTCTTCCATCCACACAGTTTAGTGTAGATGGAGGAATCTGTTGCATTCTTTCCATCTGACCACAGAAAATCTGCAGATAATCTATAGGTGTATGGTCAGCTTTAGAGAAAAAAAAATCTTTCAATGGGGTCACATGTTGTAGTGGCAACAGCTTAAAGGAGAAGTATGAGGTGAGTGCTTTTCACTCACCTCATAGTTCTAGCCGACCTGTGACAATGAGACTGTCACAGGTCGGCTCAGTAGATCGGGAGGTGAGCGAGCAAATACCGGCGTTCGCTCACCTCTCGATCCTGTCACGGCTCTCTGCCGAGGCAGGGGAGGGGCGGGATTCCCCCCTCCCCCCTCCGATCCGCCCGCGCTGACTGGCGGAACGGACGGGGGGGGGTAGATAGGCAGAGATCTAGATAGGCCTCTAGATAGGCAGAGCCAGCTGTCAGTCACGCAGCTGGGCGGATCCCGGAACAATTGTCGGGATCCGCTATACTGCGGCGGCTCAGTATACCGCGAGCTACAGCTCGCGGTATACTGAGCCTAGGGTGATGGGAGGACGCTAGTTTGTGTCCTCCCGTTACCCTAAGGAGAACTATGGGGAAAAGCCTTAACCCCATAGTTCTCCTTTAAGAGGGAATTTCCACTTACTTTAAAGAGATCTCATTCCACTTACTGCTGGGTCAACAGCATAGGAAGTGAAAGGAAATCTCCCCAATAAGACACAGATGATACAAACCCAACAGCCCAAAAAAAGTTTTGACTTTTGACATGCTTTAAAGTGTTTGTGAACTCTAAAATTCAATAATAGGATAGCAAGTAATATTTCTAGTATGATAAAGTCCATCCCTAAACCTGCAGAAATTTATACAAAGAGTATTGGCCGCAATGTTAAAAAAAAAAAAAAAGGAGCACAATTCTTCACAATGCCAATAAATGTCTGTAAAAAAAGGTCTCCATGAATATCAGACCTGAAGAAATGGGAGAACACTATTACAACTATAAGGACACTGAATACTGGTTGATGTGTAGGAGGACCATATCCTAGAACCCCCCTTTCCCCCTTTTGATATTTTTTTATATTACCCTTGGTTCTATGTGAAATGTACAGAATCACCAGAAGAAAGAAAAATATATCAGATGAAGTAGAGGAAAAATATAATTTAGGTATGTGAAGTGAATCCAGAAAAAACATCAGATCCACAGGTTGGCTTTGAGGCAAGAGAAACAATAACTGACTCTACAAACACCAACAGAAAGCTGGCAAATAAACAACAGCAGGACAAAAACAAAATCTGTTTATGTAGTGCTGGAAGCTTCATCAACATATTGATTTATAGAAATACAATATGATTGTGTTTACTGGTGATGTTGTAACTTGCTTTGTTTACCTTCTCAATAGCAAAGTTGTGTCAGTTTGTTGAATGGAATGAATAGTTTTTTTAAACATTTCCTAGTATAGTAATATCAATGTACAATATAGTGTACTAGGTTCAGTAGTCTGGGGAATTTAATGTAGAGCACAGTGTGCAAAGTTAAATAAATATAAATGTACTACGCCAATATCCAAGCTAACAGCTACTAGGTACTGTAGTGTACACCCACTGTAAAAGTGTATACGTGAAAATAAATATAAATAAAATGTGCCGAGCTAGAAAATACAATAACAAGTTAACAAAAACAATCCCTGAATCCTTGTATCTGGATGATTGTGAATAACAAAGAGAAACGAAAGTGAAGTCATAAATCTAAAAAATCTAAAAAATGAACCTGTGTATTGCCGATGCAGAGGTTATGTAGAAGTGCTCTCTCACATTAGTGGTCAGTGGTAAAGTTACCCATTACATTTATGGTCCAATAGGGAAAATAGGGAATTCCACCGCACTCCTGACCAAAGGCATCGCCAAGCACTCAACCGACAGAATGGTCACCAGCTCTCCAAATGTTATGTTCTTTAATGTCAAATCTTTTTATTAGATATAGCAGGTCATATCACTATGGATAGCAGCGTTTCGGAACCTGTCCAGTCCCTTCATCAGGCAAACAAAGTCATGACGTTGCTACGCATGGTGATATGATCTGCTATATCTAATAAAAATATTTGGCATTAAAGAACATTTGGAG